GCTCTCTCTCTCTCTCTCTCTCTCTCTCTCTCTCTCTCTCTCTCTCTCCCTTTCTCTCCCTTGTCTTGAGGATCTTAGAGATTGAACCCAGTGGCTCATGTATGCTGAGAATGAGCTCTACCAATCTATACCACCAACCAAGAATTCACATCCTTGTCACAATCATTTCTTGCAGTATCTGAACTCAAGAGCTCTGTCTGGACATGCTCTGTTCTAGTCCCATCTTTTAGCAGTCACGAGCTCCAGGGCCTGTGTCACACTCCAAAGACCTTGAGATTGAGACTTCTGGAAGGCAGGATAAAAACTTGAATTTGGATCCTTCACTCTGGCCTAGGCATGTCTCACATGCACAGGGATGTTTTTATGCCTTTCCAAACTTCCGCTGACCCGCCCACCCCCTTCATCCAGTCACACCCCTCCCTGGCCAGCTTCCTTTTGATACACTGTAGTTGACTCCACTGCCCACTGCCCAATGGCTCTTGACTCTTCCGCAGGAGCCTCTGAAGACGGGAAGCCTCTTCCATTGGCAGGGGCAGCACTCCCCTAGCTCCTGCTAGACTTGGCTCTAACCCTAATGCTTCACACACCCCACTCCAGAACACAACTCCTCAAAGGGTTCTTCAGGCCAAAAAACAAAAAACAAAAAAAAAAAGAAGAGCAGCCATGCATCCCTCACCTGAGACTTATTAGAAATGCAAACTTCCAGACCTTCTTCAAACCCACTGAGTTCAACCTGCACTGCAGAGCCACATGAAAGTGTGAGAAGTCTCTAATCAACCTGACCTGCTTAAAGATTCACCTGAGTAGAGGGAATAGATGGAACCAAGAGCCAGGAAGGAAGGCCAGGACAGGAACACACGTTTCAGGCCCCTTGTGTGAAGATGGAGATGATGTAGGCTTTCCTTACATTTTCAGAGGATTATGTGAGACCCCCACACACACCCTTGTAGAGAGGAAGAGGGGGCCTGCATGGAGCTGTCCAGGTAAGGGCCTGGGAGCAAGGGGCACAGGCCATATCAAAAGAGGGGGAGCAAAGATGGGATGGGTCTCTTCAGGTTCTTACCCTCATCATAGCTAGGGCTGCCAGGCATCTACAGATGAGAACAGTACTTGCCATTCAGCCTTGAGCTGGATGCCTGAGTTTCTTCCCTCCCTCCTGCTGGCAGAGTCACCCTCGCCCACTATCTAGATTACTGGGAGAAGATGCTCAGGAAATGTTTGTTGTATTGAAAGGAAGCCACAGCTTGTGCAGAGTCTGGATAATTCACCAGACGTGGGCCTCATGGGAGGGGCCTGCATGGAGACAAGTGAAAAACGACACATCCTGATGTCGTACTTAGCTGAGGTTGCTATTCCTCTATCTCTGTCTGTGTGCTTGCTTTTGCATGGCCCTGGTGAGGGGAAATGCAGAAGGAAGAGAGGTCAGGAAATGGCCCTGGGCTGCAGGGTCCATTCAGGGAACCCATGATGTCTGATCTGGATATAGAAGAGGCAGGCTCAGTACCTGCCAGTGAGCTCTCCCATTCTCCTGTGGCCATGGACAAGAGAAGCCTAGCCCAGTTCAGAGAAGAGGCCCTCCAATGCCTCCTTTCCCCCAAGAAGCCTTGGGTCCTACTCTTCCACTCCAACCTTGCTCCTGTTGTCGTGAGCCTCAACCCACTTTCTCTGGGCCTCAGGCAATTGTTGAAACCTGGGTTTGGCCATCTTGGAAGAACAGGACTGTGAATTAGATGAAGGCACAGGTATAAGAGAGGGGCTGGGCTGGCCACACCAGCTTTGAGACTGCCAGAGCTGAGGAGTCTGAAGGCTGTGACTGGGGAGGGAGACCTGGCAATGAGGAAGGACAAGGAGCAGGGAGGCCCCACATTCTGGGGTACTACTGACTCTTGCTTTGTGGGAAAGGCCTATCCTAGAAAGCAGTAGGCCCAGACCAGGGGTGCCATCTTTGGATAAGAAATCCCAGCCTGGAAAATACACCAGGGGCCTTGCCTACAGGTCAAAATCCCACTTATATAGAGAGATGTACATAAGAGCCCCCCACATGGTGTCCCTGCGGAATTTTGCCACACTGCTGGACCAAAAAAGTACAAGCCACCAGCAGCCAGACTCCTGCCACACAGAAGACTCTTGACTGAGTTCTCCCCTCCATAGCCTGGCTCCCCAACTCTCATGAGCTTTGCTCACCATCTTCCTGCAAGTCCAGGACCTCCTGCCCTGGTTCTTCCGCTTGTGCCTCTTGCCCTTTGGCCAATTCCTCTGGGTGGCCTGCTTCTCGGTGCCAGACTCTGCTGGGCCCCACCTTTACCAGCCCTGACCTCTTTGGGCTTTGAGGCCTCTGCTTCTCTCTGTGACTCAGCACAAGTGTGGCCTTCCGACCCAGGCTGGTGGTCATTCCATGCTAGGGTCTGCTGCTTAGAGCCATCTGGCCATGGTACTGGACTTTGCGGAGCCCCACACTTTGGACTGAGTCCACGGGCGCTTTTTTCAGGCTTGGGGCTGCTAGCTCCTCCTAGAGAGAGGTCAAGGGGAGCCAAGTCAGAATTTTGTGGGGAGCCTCGGGCCACACTGGCTGTCGAGGTTCCTGACTCCCCTTTTAGCCCCTCTGGGGAGGCCAGAGCTGGACTGGTTGCAGGCATGGTCTCCTGTCTGCCTGGTTCCATTTCACTCTGCTTCTGTACACACTCGTTCTCTGCATTGGAAGTCTTCGTGGTGCTCTGGCTTCCCTGAAGCAAAAGAATAGCCCAACTGACTACAAATTTGGGGCTCCTGTCCCCAGACTGTCCTATCCTATGCCTAGGTACCCACCTCCTGGCTCTGCAGCTCCTCGTCTTCTTTCATGTCATACCTGTAGAAACACAGCAAGTGGCAGGGCCTGTGCCAAGTCCACCTTGCTTCAGGTAACCCCCTTCACAACCAGGAGCCCGTGTACCCCAGAGAAAAGCTAAAGCCCAATGGTTTCAGAGTGAGGCCAGAGCCACAATAAGGCTCCAGGATGCCCCCTCCCTGCCAGCCTGATCTTTCTTCTCGAATATAGCCAATTCCTCTGCACACCCGTCCTGGGTCCCCAGCTGCTGTTATTGCCAAGCCTGTTGCATCATGAGATCCATGGGGACTCCAGGCATGCCCCTGCGCGCCCTGCCTGGGAAAGGCACACCTCACATCCCAGAGGAAGTGAGCTGTTGTAATTACCACAGTCTCTGGGCACCAGGCTCTCACAGCCACCACCTATACTGGTGGCCTTTCTCAGTATCTCATTAACCTGTAGCAGACAGCAAGAAGCCAGGAAGCAGGGGCCCTGGGGATGAAGCAGAGTCCGGGAAATGAGGACACCTACATGCCTGCCTTGATTTTGTACCCTGTCACCTGTTACCTTCGGGCCCTGCCAGTCAGCCTGTCCTTCCCCTGGGCTTTGCTGCCTATGGTGGATGTCACCGAGGGTCTTCCAGATTGTCCACCCCGACCTGCAAGACACAGAGGACAGAGGGCCATAGCAAATGCCTTCGCCAGCTGAAGCAACCCTGCTCCTTTTCCTCTCCCAAACTCACGTTTTCCATCCATGGATAGGGGGGTCCTAGGACCTAGAGGGAGACAAAGGAAATGGGGATGTCAAAGGATCTGAAACAGAAAGAGCAGTTCTCTATCCCCCAAAAGCTACCAGTGGTAATTCCGTTAGGAGATCTCCTACCTCCCCCAAAGTCTGAGCCACCTCCCAAGAAAAGCCTGGTCTGGCCTGCAGTCCTGGACTTTTTTTCCACTCCCCAGATAGGTGACTTAGCCAACTTGTTAGCTCCCAGGTTCTGTATATGAGGAAGGAAGGCACCAGAAGTCCACAGGACTGGTTCCCACAGCAAGCCAGGGAGGACCACTCGGACTTTTACCCCTACAAGGACCAGAGTCTGAAAAGACCCGGGTTAGCCACAGACTGAGCTGTGGCTCAAAGGACACAAGAGAGATCAAATAGTGCAGGAGAGGAAGAAAGGAAAGGAAGATATTTTTTTCCGTGTCCCCTTTCATCCTTGATGAGACAGAAAAGAGAGTCTCCTACATGAGACAGGAGACTCATGAGTTGTGGGCCAGCCTGGGCTGAGAATGTCTCAACAAACAAACAAACAAACAAACAAGGCACTGGACATGAGGTAGATATTGGCTCACCCTTTCTGCCTGTGGTTGAATCCTTGTCTCTCTGCTTGTTGCAGTCCTGTTGCCTGTGTTAGACAGAGGAGGGCATTAGGTCACTTGTGGCAATGTGGACAGAGGCTGCATCAGGCCCCACACTGATACTGCCTCCCGCAGAGCTCAGGGCACAAAGGTGGTAGAGGGGGCACACAGAACCCTTGGCCCAAGGTCTGACCAGAGGTCCAAGGCAGGTCCTCTCCCTCCAAGAAGCACCCATAGTTAGCCCTACCCGGGTCCCACAATCACAATGGCTCAGCAAGCTGCTCAGCCATGCCACCCACATGGGCTTGGCTTTGTCCAGGTCCCACGGGCGGCTCCAGTCACCCTGTGCATTTCTGTGCCGGGCAAGGCGGGCCAAGTCAATCTGCTCTCTCTCCTGTTTCCACTGCATGTAGTCCCAGCTGGCCTCTGGGGGCAGTCCCAGGGGCTGTTGGGGAGGTGGGCCTGGGACTGTTCCTGGACTCCGGGGGTCCAGAACACCCTGCAAGGGAAAGACACTTAGGCTTGTGGGGAAGATGTAGGGAAAGGATTCAAGTGGAGCTCCAGGGAGTCTGCTAAGCCCTTCCTCTCTCAAAGGTCTCCTCATCCCTGTATATAGTCTCATCTCCAGCATGCGGTGCTTGCTATGGACTGTTTGCATCCAGACACTTATTAGCTGTCAGTTTGGGACCAGTAATTTAACCTCTGTGTGCATCATTTCCTTATCTGTAAAAGGAGGTATCTCCTTTCTTAGTTGTTGGTATGGGTAGACTGGCCCTAGATATATTGGAGGGGCACCCACAGGCTGAGCAAGATCAAGAGCAATTCCAAGGGGCTGCTGCCACCTAGAGGCCACAGCTGGCACATAGCCAGTCGCCTACACATCCCTCTGACACCTTTGGGGTTGAGTCATGGGTCTTATCGTGGCTGGATCATATCTCTGACTTAAACCATTTTTCACAGCAAAGTGCATCCAAAGTGGATATAAACCAGAGGAGGGGAGAGCATGAGAATTCTCAAAGGTGGTGCCTAGGTCCGGTTTCCCCAGGCAAGGGACATGTGTGTCTTAGTTTCTCTGCCTCCTCCAAATGGGGATTGCTGATTTGTGTCCCTACCCCTTCTTGTAGATATACCTTCCCTGATGAATCTGTGCTGGAAGTCATCTGCAGGGGCAAACTCTGGCCCCGGCCTCCTCCAGATGTCCCCTTTGCCCTTGGGGTCCTTGCTTGGGTGGTGGGTTTTTCGCTTACGATCCGTTTGGCCTGCAGAGGGTGTAGATGGGCATCATGACCGAGCCAAGGGATAGGAGACCATGTACCTGGGGTCTGGAAGCTCCAGCTGCTCACCCTGGCTTTGTTTTCCATGGTCACAGCTAGTTCCACCCGGTCCTCCATACAGAAAGTGCCCGGCGAGTCTGCAGCATCATCATCTGTCAGTGCTTCAGTCATTCCAGGTGAAGAGGGCACCCTGGCCCAGTGTCTGCTGACCACCCTCTTCTCCTGCAGAGTGAGACACCTGTGTCTTCAGGCCACATGGGTAGTCCTGGGCAGGACCAGGTGCTGGGTGCTAGGTGCTGGGTGCTGGGCAGGGGGTTCCTAGGTTTGGGTTTTAGCCCTAGCCCTCTCTGGAATGCCCATGGAGAAGCTTGACCTTTCAGGAGTCCACATGCCAATGGCATTAGTTATTCAGAGCCAACCCAAGGGTCCAAGATGCCACAAGGGCTTGTCATCTCTGAGTTGAGAAATCCAGAGCTCACAGACAATACAGCCTTATCTCTAGGACACTGTTTCTTTTGCTTTCAGCACAGGGTTCTCTGTCCTCTGCTTCCTGCAGGTTTCAGCCTCAGGGCTGGGGTTGTACCTTAGGGCATATGTACAGTGCCTTGAGACTGGAAAAGACTGTAAAACGGTTTCTGTTTGGTGGCCTTTCATCTGCAGCCTTCGGGGGAGGAGAGCAATACTTGATTGTTGAGGGGGCCTGTTGCTGGGGGCACCCAGAAAGGCACATAGGAGAAAGTGGGGTAGTTGTAACACCCTAGGCATGGACCAGGCCTCAATTTTGTCTGTCTCCAGGGTGAGACTTACACCAGGAACCTGGCTGATGGTGACTGTGAGACAGTCGGGTTGGAAGAGCCCCGGTGTGGTCACAGCCATGCCCCCCTGCTCTGCCTGGCGACGATCTTCCTCGATCTCCTGTGGGAGGGCCTGGGGTCAGCAAGGCCACGGCCCCCCAGGCTCATAGACACACAGACGCTGACAGGCCTACACAGAGAAACACCAATGGGACACCAGGGAGCAGAGGCACCATATCACCAGAGCCCAAGACTCTGACCATGTCTCTGAGACAGACTGTCCACCCAAACCCTGAGCCAGAACCTAGAGACATGGTCTAGAACCCTCAGAAAGAACCCGCTAATCAAATAGGCTTTTGAGGGCACCCAGGGACAGGAGCCCCCTCAGCCACTACAGCCTACTCACCTGGTACCTGCGCAGTAAGGCCTGGTTCTTCTTGCGCAGGGCAACTATCCTACGGTCCAACTCGGCATCTTTTTCCTCATGCCTGCGCATTGTGGACTCGGCTCTGTGAGGCCCCTACAGAAGACAAGGAACCCAAGCTTACCAATGACCTAACTTTCACATCCCCACACAAGGAACATGTCATATCCCCAAGTTAAGGCACGAGGAAGGTGAAGGGGGTTCCTTAGGAAGATGGCCTATAGAAGGCCCCATTCCACCAAAGAGGTCTGTCTACTAGTCTGCCTCCTCAGGAGGCTCAGGTCAGGGCTTCATACCCAGGGCCTTTGCTTCCAGCAGCAGGCTGCCCCTCCCCCTGGCTCTCCAGGGAGTTCTACTGTGAGCACAGCCTGGAATGGGAGTTAAAAATGGCTCTGGCAGCAGAACCCGCCA